CACTGTCCATGTGTTCACTGGCTGTATATAGAAATACAATTGGTTTTTGTATGTTTATCTTGAATCATCGACCTTGCTGAACTTCTTAGTTCTAGGAGTTTTATTGTAGATTCCTTGGGATTTTCTATGGAGACAATCATGTCATCTCAAATAGGGACAGTTTTGTTTCTTCCTGTTTGATGTGTATGTCACTTATTTCCTCTTCTTGCCTTATTGCTCTGGCTAGAACTTCCAGCATTATGTTGAATAAGAGCAGAGAGAGTAAATATCCTTGCCTTATTCCTGATCTTAAGGGAAAAAGCATTTAATTTTTCACCATTAGGTATAATGTAGGTGTAGGGGTTTTTGTAGATTCTCTTTTCCAAATTGGTTTTTAAATTGGTCGTGCAGCAAATTGACTTGTTAATGAGGAAGGGTCCTATCTCAAAATGTTTCTCCCAATCTGAATGAAATTCACTAGCTAGACACTCACGGTTTTGAGTAAAGGCATCTTTTTTAATGCAAAGCCTCTTAGAAGGGTTAACATTTTGTACTGCTGTCACTCTTACCTTTATGGAATAGTTTATCTGTTTCTTTCCTCCTTGTCCAAGCACAAAAATCGTTGAATGAGTGGGGGAAGAAAGGAGGAACAATTTTTGGAGCAGAGAATGCCTCAGTTGGGCAGCAGGAGGTTACTGAGTGCCTTTTCTAGTTGAAGCACAGACAGAAGCTTTGAAAAGGATCTGAAGCCTAATTTAATCTTTTTAAAAATTTGCATCATTTTTATATAAATAACTATAATTTTAAAAGTAAAAACACTGCATTTGAGAAGTTTATTTTATAATTTAAGTGGTTCTGCATTTGTTTAATATTCTGCATTTGTTGATGCCTCCTGCAAAGTACATCTTGCAGAAAGCAAAAACATCCTGCTACTGATAGCCCTTTTGTCAAAAATGACAGCATGTCATTATTTTACTTACAAAACGAGGAGATGATATAACACCTCGTTAAGTATGAAGCACAAATTATATTTAACAAAAAAACAGATGACTTTTACTTACTTCATTTGGGAACATAATTATAGTATTTCATATCTTCTCAAGTTTCACAGAAATGTCCTAAGTAATTAGCCCATGCAGACAGTGAGAATTTGAAAGCGTTATTAAATTTTTTCTGTTGCAGTTTTACTTACAGAAAATTATTTACAATTTCATAGTATTGAAAGCTTTTGTTTAATGTACTTATTTAACATAGATCACTCAGTGATTCACGTTGTACAAGGTGAAGTCTGGAGACTACCCTTATGGACCTATTATCTTATAATTGGTTGTCTTGTTTCCAAGAACATAAAAAATATCATGTTTTGGCTTTCTTTGCTGAACTTCTAGAAGACCTGTTCTGTAAAATGTATTACTTCACTTCTTTCAGCTTTCGCCCCCCCCCCCCGGCCCCCCAGTGATTGGTATGGTGGAATAACATTCTAATAGCTTTTACAACTGTGAAGTTTGTACCATTTCTGTTTCATATGTCAGGCTGCAAATAAGCTCCACCCAGCAAGAATTTTCTTTAGAATAAGGATATGGCACTTTGCCAGGAGTGGAGCAGCAACTGTGATTAATAGGCAGAAGGTTAAGGATGAAAGTGCCTTGGAGTAAGCAATAAAATTTTCAAATTGATGAGAAGGAACCAAAACTCACAATGGGCAGAGGGATTGTCAGAAAATACCCATCTGCTCTGAATTAGTTCAGGTCTCTTGACCTGAATGAATTATATTTTTGAGGACTTATAGTACCTTTGAATGGGATTGTGGAGCTACTCTTGGTGATCTTTGAGGACATGTAGAGAGTAAGAGCATAATATACAAATGCCAATCCATGTAAAGCGGCCATGAATTACAGCCAGTGAACTCAATTTCAATCCCAGACAAGATTCTAAAATGTAATATTAAAGGGTGATTTGTGAGAACATATTAGAGAAAACAATAACCCTTGGGCCAATTTTGTGTTCGTTAAGAGAACCAGATGTAGTCCTTGCCATTCCATTTTGTGTAGAGTTACTAGATCCAGGAACTGTAGTAGGCATAGAATATATGGACTTTATGAAGGCATTTGGCAAAGTTTGTCATAATATTCCTGAAGACAATAGGAACAAGTATAGGTTGGTTGTAAAGATAATTGGGTAGTTTAATAACCAGTTGTAGAGTTGCACCTGAAATGTGCTGAGTAATGGATCAGAATAAACCAAGGAGATAAGATATGCTGTGGAGTTCTGTCCTCAACTTTGCCATATTCAACATTTTTAATCCATGAATTAAATGGATAAAACAACTTATAAGGATCAATTTTGAAAAAGACACAAAGCTTAGAATTTCCTGGATATCAAAGTCAATAACTAAAGGCTGAGTCTAAGACATACATATCTTCGTATATATGAATCTAAGATTTATATATGTGTGTATATATATATAAATATATATTATTTATTTATTTATATTTATCATTCTGCACTTGGATCTGAAAAACCAAATACTCACATAACAGAATGGATGTTATTGGTTGCAAGGAATGGGTAGCTTAAGGGAGAAAAAAGAATAGTGGAGGAAGATTGGGCTTGGATCCTAAAGGGCAAGTAAGGCAGCTAGATCTCAACGAGGACTGAAGTGAGGAGTGGGAAGGTTACTGGGTATAAGACAGTGACTGGTTCCATTTTTTTCTCTCTTACTCTGGTTCCACAGTGTCTTTGTCTTATCTTCTCTCTGTGTGTCTGCTTATTCTCCTCTCTTATTCCAGTAACGTGACTTACTCTATACCTTGCACATGACCCTTCTCTATTATGGCTGCCCTAAAGGTGTCCTAAATGCCCAGGTCTTCAACACTGATAGGCCTAGTTGGCTCATCCCAGTTTAGGGCTTGGTTCTTCTGGGTCTGATGTCCAGTCCTCATCCACCCATCAGCCATGGCTAGGGTGGATGGGTGAGGGAGGTGATTTAGTCACATTACCAAACAGAGCAGCCAGTACTGTGGAAGGTGGATTCTCTAAAAAAGGGGGCATAGGTGGGAAGGAATGGATTGGTATATTCAGTGTAATGAGAAATGGTTTCACACTGCAGTATTCTTTAAATAGGGGTTTTATTTAACATAAAAGCCAGTTATAGTACATAATAGCAACATATAATTGCTAAAAATACAAAAGACCGTTGTGATCTAAGGTTGCATTAGAAAATATTACTAATGCTATTACCAGTGAGATGTTAGAATGAGGGGAATTTGAGTCCTCTCTTACTCTGTTTTAGTGAGTGCCAACCACACTGAAGTGTTCAATATTGGGCACCATACTTTGAAACAGATACAGGACACCGGAACAAGTCAGAGAAAATGATCTAGCATGAGGAACAAATTCAAAACTATGTCATATGGGAAACAGCTGAAGGAATTGCAAGTGTTGACCTAGAGAAGAGAAGATATGGAGCTTCCTGATAGCTGTCTTCAAATATTAGAAAGAGGCTTGGGATTGTTCCACATGGTTATCAGGAGGTCTAGGACCAGTGGATGCTCCAGGGAGGCAGATTAGGGGTCAGCATGAGAAACAATTTCTTGATAGACAAAACCATCAGAAGATAGAACAGGCTACTTACAAAGTAGTTTCCCATCATTTGGGATGTTGAAATAGAGTCTGGATAACAATTTATCTAGGTTGGAATATACTCTATGAACCTAGCCAGACCTTGAACCAGGTTATTTTTATGATTTATTTCAAAGCTGTGGTTTTATAAATCTATAAATTTGGTATCAGTAGCAGTTAGATGATTGATGTAGTCATTCATCTGTATTCCACAGTATTATCTTATCGTTTTTAATTTGAAATTTTTATTATTGTAGTTTAAACGAGCAAAATTTTATTGTATAGAGATTTACAATTAGTTTGTTTCCACTGACTCTTGTGTAATGGCATTGCTAGGCAGATATGTTGGCATCACTCTTAGTTAAGAGAGCAGTTTCTATAGTCTTATGGGGAGGTTGCGTTAAGCGTTAAGTCCTCCTTGAATAATAAAAGTGTTGCTTTCATTTTAGTGCCCTGGAGCAAATATGTAATGAAGCTGTGTCTCTTATCCTTTGTGAATAGCAAGACAAGTAGAGGCTACTTGAGGAATATTTGTATACTTTCGACAGAAAAAAGAATTACTTCTCTCTTGACTTGACTAAAATTCCATTTTTCACTGCCTCTATGCTGGCCAGAGATACATGAACATTTGATCTGAATGAAGTAAGAGGATTTAGCTGACATACACATAGTAGACAAATATGATACAAATGGTTACAGGCTACAGGCATAGTACTGGTTTTAAATAGACCTGGGTTTAATCCCAACTTCTCCATCTATGAGCTGGTTATTTAACTGCAATAGTCTCCATTTCCTTACCGAGAAAATGGGTATAACCTTACCTATCTGAGGGGAAAAGAACGGATTTAGGGAGAAGAAATTAGGTTCTAAGTGTTTTTCCTATTTGTGGTTTTATGACAGAACATAAAATTCTGTAAAAATCATAACATGTTAAAACTGAATAGGAATTTAGCATTCATTTGGTCTAATGCCATAATTTTATAAATGAGGAAAATAAGATCTGAAAAATCCAAGAGGCATCTGCAGGATCACAGTGCAGTTGGCAGTGATTTCTTCTTACTTCATGAAAAACTCATCTTAAAACAAGAATTGTAAAGATGTTTTCATCATTTTTAGTTTTATTTTATGGAAAATATTTCAAGAGTAAATCTTTCTTGGAGATACTATGGAGGAATAATTACTCTGAAAGACTTTTCTAATTCCAAAATTTTGTGTCAGGGTCAATATCATGCCAGTTTTTAAAATTTTGTTCAGATGTAGGCAATGTCATAGTTGTTACTCCATAGCACAGTACTGTATACATTTACTTCATTTGACCAACATGGTTGCATCTTCAGTTGAACTTTGTTTTTTAGAATTTAAAAAATACCATGTCAGTAAATGTGTGTTCTATTTTCTAGATGTCCCCTGAAGAAAAAGTTTGTAAGTACTGTGGAGTCAGCTATCTAATTCTCCATGAGTTTAAGGCTATGGAAGAAAAAGTGAAGGCGATGGAAAAAGAGATGAAATTTTATCAAGGAAGTGTAGAACGTGAAAATAAACTTCAAGAAAAGCTACGGTTTCTTAGCCAAGATTTTGAACAGTACAAAATTGACAATGAATCCAAAACAGAAAGGTTGGAGTATGTTATTCTTTTCTGTCATTTATTTAATTTGAAAGAAAAGTGCAGAAAATAAATAGACTTTGAATGTTTTTCTAGAATTTCTCTATATCAGATATAATTTACACTTTTATACACTGAGTTCATTAATTATTGATAATTACTAAATATAATTGTTAATGTTAATTTGAGCATTCCTTTGAGGCATATATTTACTATTTGAATAAATAGAAACCAGTTAATTTCATAACTGTAAGTTGAGGTGGGTTAAGTTTTATTTTTCCCCAGATACATATCTTTATTTTATTATTGAGAAGATTTGTCTATAAAAATCGGGAATTTTTGTAGTTTTTGATACCTAACGTTTGTTTTTAAATGGATTGAATATTTAGATTTTTAGAATAAGGTTGTCTTGTTTTGAAAAGGATCCCAAGACATTAAAATTGGTACATGATTCTGAATCACTGAAATTGGAATAAAATTACAGAATGGATTCCTAACGCTGTCAAATTTAATCAGCAATTTAGTCTGCCTAAAGATACTTCAATCAGCTTATATAGACACTTCTACAGAATGGTTTTTGCTGGTGTTTTATGGCTTTTCCTTTTTCCTATGAATGAATATTTCCACTTAAAATATTGACAGCTGATGTTAATAAACGTTAAATTAATGAATTTAATGAATATCATGTCTTTGTAAAAGTAGAGACTTTGTTAAATCTCTTAGGATTAAGTACTTCTATTATATTTTGTTACAAATTTTTATAATTACATTAAATGTCAGTTGAGTCCGATATTTTTTAGTCTTTTACCAAAAAAATTTTGTTATAGTTTCTTGGATTTCAAATTTGAATAATAAAGTATCTCATAATATTTGAGTGGAAAAATAAAAAATTTGAAGTATTCGGTTTAAAATTTAAAATTTGGAGGGTTTTTGCCTGTCAGAGCTTCTTTTGTTTGGTGTTATTCACACTTTACTTTCTTTAATAAAATACTGTATTATATAAGTAATACATAAACACATGAAATAAAAGCAGTATATAGAAGAGAAGGCAAGAAGGTCCCTTTTCACCCCGCTGATTGCTTTCTTCTTACTGAGGATAAAACCACTTTTAATGGTTTGGTGTATATGGTTTTACATCCTTCACTGTGCCTTTACCTTTATGATAGATATTTTTTTTAGTATATGTAATGTATTATATATAAGCTGTGTAGTTTTTAAATCTTTATCTTTTAATAGACTAGTTTTTAACATACGCAATGTATTAATCATATCGTTCTGTGACTTTTGCTACTTAACTATATATATTGGAAATTGTTCCATGTTAATACATATAGATCTACTGTGTTCTTAGCTGCTGCAACATTTTCCTTACTAAGAATATGCCATAATTTACTTAACCATTTCTTTTTTCAACATTTACATTATTTCCGATATTTCTTATTACACGTAGTATTTATATTTATATTCTTGTGTACATATGTTTTCCAGAGGATAAATTCCTAGAAGTGAAATTGCTAAAAGAAAGGAAATGCCAATTTAAAATTTTGATAGATATTATACCAAATTGTCCTTTGAGAAGATAGCATTAATTTATATTTGGCGAATAGTTTATAGAGTGGCCATCTTCCTACAAATTTTTAATATTAGAGTCTTCCTGATTTTTCTCAAATTTTCACTTTTTTCTTGAGTAAAAAAAGGTTACTTCATTGTTATTTAATTTGTTTCTTTATTGCTAATGAGGTTGAACATTTTTTCACATGTTTATTAGATATTTTTATTTCTTTCTCAATTAATTACCTGTTCATATATGTTGTACAAATTTTTACTGGGTTATTTATTTTTGTTTATTTGTAGGAGTTTTTAATATAACATGGACATTTTACTTTGTTTATGCATGTTGCTAATATTTTCTCATGGTTGCTTATCTTTTTGTTTATTGTATTTTTTCTATATCAATTTTTTTTCGTATCCTATGCCAAATTCTGGTCAGTGTTCTGGTCAGTGTTCTGTGTCAGCCTTTGGCTGCAAACAATAGAAACTTACTCTGGATAACACTAACCTAGTTTCAGGCAAGTTGAAGAAAACATCATATGTTTAGAACTTTTATAGTATTGTTGTTTTACTTAGTTTTTTAATCTACCTAGAATTAATTTTCATGAGGTAGATTTAAAATTTCATGTTTTTTGTTATTGTTTTCTGAATGTATGGCTTATTGTCCCAATATCATTTATTAAATCCTTTGTCCTTTCTCCCTTGATTTGAAATACAACCTATTAATTTCTATTCTAGTCTATATCTGGACTCTGTTTTGTGCTATTGATCTTTTGTCTATCAATAGGTGTCTTAGTCCCTTTGGGCTGCTATAACAAAGTACCACAGACTGGGTGACTTATAAACAATGTTATTTATTTATTTCTCACAGTTCTGGAGGCTGGGAAGTCCAAGATGAAGTTGCTGGCATATTTGGTGTCTCCCGAGAGCCCCCTTCCTGGTTCACAGACAGCCATCTTCTTGCTGTGTCTTCACACGGCGGAAGAGGCAAGGGAGCTCTCTTGGGTCTCATGAGAGCTTCATCCATATGACTTAACTACCTCCCAAAAGCCCCACCTCCAAATAGCATCACATTGAGAAATAGGCTCACATTGAGAAATAGGCTTCAATTTATTAATTTTGGGGGGATACAAATATTCCGTGTATAGGAATGGATCAGCACCACACTTTTAACTACTTTAGCTTTATGTTTTGATATGTTGTGGGGCAAGTATTTGTTTTGCTTGACAGGTTATCCTGGCTTTTCTAACATATTTTCTCTTCTGGATGAACTTTAGAATCAGCTTATCAGATTCCATAAAACATTTTATATTATGATTTAGATTGGAGTTGCATTTACTCTCTAGGGCAATTTGACATCTTTATAATCTTGAGTCTTCTTATCCTGGAACATGGTATTTTTTTTCTCCATTTATATAGGTCTTCTTTAAATCCCTCAATAAAATTTTGTAATTTTCTTGCACTTTCCATATTAGTTTAATTCCTGGACATATAATTTTTGTTGCTATTGGGAATGGTATCTTTTTCTTCATTACACTTTTTAATTTTTCTGGAAGGTATTGATTTTTGTATGTTGATTTTATCTCTAGCTCTTTTACTGAATTCTTTTATTACTTGTATTTATTTTTCAGTTGATTTTCTTGAATATATTACATATATTCATTATATATGTATACACACACACACATATATAAAACAGTCACATTATATGCAAATAGTAACTGTCTTACCTTTTTATTTCTGATAGTTGTGCCTTGCCCTACTTCTTTTTATCTCATTAACTTGGATTGGACCTTTAGAACAGTATTGAATAGCAAACTTGTAGAATGCATCTGTCTTATTTCTGATTTAATGTGAACCTATCTAGTGTGTTTCTGTATTAAATAGGATGTTCGCTATAGGTTTCTTACAGATGACTTTTATCAGTTAAAGGAAGTCTCCTTTTATTTCTAGATCTTTAAGGTTTATTTTTTAATCAGGAATAGTTATTAAATTTTAATACATAAATGCTTTTGCATCTTCTCTTGGGATGATCATGTGATTTTTCTCCTTTAATCTGTTAATGTAGTAAATAATACTAATAGATTTTCTTATGTGAAGCTGTACTTGCATTTTTGGAATAAAGCCATTTTGATTATGGTATGTCTTTCAGGGTTCCCTAAATTTCATATATTTGCTTACCTTCTTCTTCTCCACAGTTATGAGCACTCTGTACCATTTTTCTATAAATACTCCCTTAAATATATGTATTTAAAGGAAATTTTCTGTGAGAATAGTGAGTGGGAAAACATTATCACTTACCATAAATAGAAAATAAAAAACAAATATGTAATTATTAAAATAAAATGTGTTTTTTCTCAGTACCACTAAAATAATTGCTCATGTTACTAGTTATGTGTGAAACAATTTATGAAGAATATTGTTCTTTTAATAGGGTGCTGGATTAATTTGTTAATGTTTTACATAGATTTTTGCATCTATGTTCACAGGTGAGGTTGGCCTGTAGTTTTCTTTTTTTACAGTGTAAAGACTGGCTCATACCAGCATCTTAAAAAAAGTTAAGAAGACTTCCATCTTTGGTGTGTACCAGACATTTTGAATAACATGTGAGTTGCCTGTTCTTGCAGCTTTGATAGAATCTCCTTCATAAAAAATATGTCTTGGGGGCTGGCCTCATGGCCTGGTGGTTAAGTTCAATGCACTCTGCTTTGGTGGCCTGGGTTTGGTTCCCGGGCACAGATGTACACCACTCATCAGAGGCCATGCTGTGGTGGTGACCCACATACAACATAGAGGAAGATTGCCAACAGATGTTAGCTCAGGGCAAATCTTCCTCAGCAAAAAAAAAAAAAAAAAAAAAAAGTGTCATATCTTTTTTGGGTAATAGAATTTTGAAATCCATTATGCTTTCTTTATAATTATTAGCTTATTTATGGATTTTACCTCTTCTTGAGTCAATTTTGGAAACTGATATTTTCCTAGAAAAATCAAGCATTTCAAATTTCTTGGTATTTAGTAATGTGCAGGATCCTCTTATTTAAAAATTTTCTTCTGTATCTTTTATGACCCGCTTTGTCTTTTTTTGGGTTGATTATTTGTGTTTGATTAAGAGAGAGAGAGACAGAGAGGATAAAGAGAGGAGAGAGAAAACTTTTTTTATAGGAAAATAAACAGATTTGTCTGTTTTATTGGCCTTTTCAAAGAACCAGATTTTAGCTTAATTCATCAAATCTTTTCTATTTTATTAATTTACACTCTTATATTTATATTTATTTATTATCCTTTTACGAATTTCTAGTTTTCTTACTAGTTACTTCATTGAAGGCTTGGTTAATTTGTTTTCAGTCTCTTTTTCTGGTAATTACATTTAAAGTTATCGAGTTTTCCTGTGGTAACAAGCTTTGGCAACAACAAACATTTTGATAATAGTGTTTTATTTTCATTTACTTTTAAATAAGATA